CATTTCACTGGAGGTGCTTTCTTAGGGAGCTTCGGAGAGGACCAAGGTGAGCTCTTAGGTGACACATAGGGTGAGGATCGAGGTGTCCCTTTCTGCAAGACTTTGGTCTTTGGATTGACGGCTCCGTCACAACCAGACTCTTGTTGCCGCTGCTCCTGCATACGCTTTTGCCTTTGTTTGTCCATATTTCTTGTCAGGATACTTGTCATGGTCATTCTTGGGCCAGCAAGGTCAAAGTGGTACCCAAGCTTGACCAGAGTGGTGTTCTCTTTCAATAGCTTAACTATGTCCATTTCCACCTGGCTGCCCATGATGTGCCTTTGATTGTGGAACCGAAGTTCTGTTAGAACCTTGTTATTCTGCAAAGCTCTCATGATGGCCAGTACTCCTTTACCTGTGATAAAATTTGACTCAATATTCAGACTAGTTATATGCTGATTTACCTTTAACATACCAGCAATAGCTATTGCAACATTGTCATCAGCATGGGTGTTAGCCAAGCTGAATGACTTAACCACCGTGTTGTCCCTCAGAGCTTGAGAAAATTGTATAAGCATCTGTGAAGTGATGTTTTCGATGTTGTTCAGATTGACCTCTGTGGTTTCAGGGTCGTTGCTCCTAACTTTTTCCAAAGCATCCTCAATAACTGTTGGATTTCCGCAAGGGTGGATGGCACTGCTTTTTAAGCTCAGGTTATCAGTGTCTTTTCCATCATGGCCATTGAGTAAATTTTCACTGTCCTTTGTGCCGTTACACTTTTTGCGCCTGATGTGGTCAGAACTCCTGCCATGCTCAGGTCTTTCACCAGCTGCAGCGTTTTGCTCTTCCTCATCCTCATCATCACTCTCATCTTCATCTTCCTCCTCCTCCTCTTCTTCTTCATCATCATCCTCTTCAGTATATGCCTCCTCAGACACTTCGCTATTGCTTTCTGTGAAACACTCTTCTTGAATGTCTTCTGAATTGTCTTCTTCTTGCTCAGAATCCTGAACAAGAATGTAGGTGAGGGTGTTAAACATGATTGCAGTAATGTAGCTACTGCCTTTTTGCACAAAAACAATTATCTTGAAACCATATAATACTGAAAGCTAAGAATAAATCCCCAGAAACAGTTAGGAGAACAGAGAACATTTCAGCACCTAACACCTTTTTAACTTTATTTCTTTCAAATTCCCTAGAAGACAAATGCTTAGCATAAATTGGAACAGTTTTACTGATGTCAGTGATTCTTACCAAGAAAAAATTTGATACAAGACATTGCAACATGGACATACTTCGTGTTTTCTATGTGTTGGCATGTCCACAAGGGGATATTATTTGGATTCTTACCAGCAGAAACACAACTATTTCAGAATGGACATGATCTATGAGCAACAAGTTTCTTCATTTCATACAGATTAGACATCTGTGTCAACGCTTGGACTCCCTTGCATACGTTAGTACATCTAAAAGGCTAAAATCTTCCATGATTTAGAATAGAAATAATGTCTGCATGTGTAAACACACATATTGACATGCAAAATTATGCAGAATTACAGGAGTCATGTCAAAAAGACTCTGGATGCACTACATGGGCTATACACACTTAGAAGCTCTTTGTGAAGAAAAGGTTGAGGCATATTCCCACATGGACAAGTAGTAACACGTCAATAATCCCCAAAACTCTCCATGGTTGCCAAGAGCTAAGACTGTGCTCACTGACAGCTGTGGCAGGTCAGTTGCAATACTGGTTATAATTCATTGCCTACAGAGTAAACTATTTTTCTAAAACCCAAGGTTATTTTAGTGTGTTTGGTGGACACCAAGAAGGCAAATTCGGAAACACTTCTCAAAGCTCTGTCTGATACTATTAGTAGTTACAGTGGCAGAAGAAAATTCACTGCGCAGGAGCAGCAAAAGGTCTGCAGCCCAGGAAAGTCTCACCCTCCGCCTGGAGGACTCCAGAAGCATGGTAGTGTTGTATGGGTCATGACTGAACCCCCATGCCAGGACCAACCTTAAACCTCTTTCCCAAAAAGATGTCCCGTGTCCTGTTTTGCCTACTGGACAAGTCATAGCGTATGCCTTTTTATTTACGTTTGTAAATGCTTATAAAATATTGGATGAAATATACTTGTTCTGTACGCACTACTTCAGCAACATTCATATTTTAGTCTTTGTAAAATACTAGAGGATATTTTACAAAGTGAGTACACTCTGCAGAGACACAGTGATTCTGTTTTGTGCTTCTGGAAAACGGAAGTGTTACTAACATGACAGCCTATTTTTAGAAAACCTGTGCAGTTTTAGGTTTGCTTAAGTATCTGGTTCTAAAAATGCAGAGAAAGGTTAAAATAAAAGCGATGACATATTGCATGGTACTATTTCACAATCTCAAGCAGATTTCTGCGTTGGGACACATGCAAAACAGACGGCAATCGAAATGTTGGCAGAAGCGTGACTCTAACAAAACAGGACATCGAGCTGTTCCAGCCTGTCATTCCTGAGCGTTCAGCGCCTGGAGAGCTTGCAGGGTCCAGTCCCATTGCCCTGCACGTGGAGGTCTTGGAGGGTGCAGCTCCACTGCCTGTCCTGTGGATCATGTGTGGGAAGGCCCTTACACTGAGAGATGCTGTGCTACATATGGAAAGAGGGTTTTATCTAAATCAGCTTTATTATGGGACTAAGATTTATATCTGTAGCTTTTATAGGTATATGCAGACTTTTAAAAGGTGAAATCGCCAGGTATCCAGGAACCTGTCTTCATGGCTATGCTTTTATCTATCTAGGAATATATATTACAGCCTTCAACACAGGTGCAGATGAGCAGAAATTGGTGCTTCTAAATGAACTGCTAACATGCTTGATGACAATACATTAATAATAGAAATGAAATTGATTTCTTTTGAGTGCATTTCTGGGGTGGAACGGGGAATTTTGTTTCCTGTTACATACGCCGTTTGGTGTCATAACAATCTGCGGAGTAATTTTGGAATCGAGTGCTCTTGTCTTTACAGATCCATAGAGGCATGCTCTGTTATCGTGGCAGCATTTCTGAGCAGGACTGCTGCAGGCAGCCTGCAGGGCTTGGTCTTACTTTGTAGTAGGAACTAGATGAAAAGTTAGGACTAAGATAGTCAAAGCAGAGAGGTAAATATCTCTGGAGGGCAAGTCATTCACCCTAAAAGGCTATCTGCAGGATGTTTGCCTTTTGGAGGGGCTGATCTCTCACCACGAGCTATAGAAGGAGCACAAGTAACCATCTTAGATAAGCTGTCTAACATTCAGGCAGTCGAGGGCAAAAAGAAAATTGCTTTCAAGAAACTCAGAAGGAGCTTTCTTATTGCTTTCAGTGAAGAGAGCTTTTGTGTCCTATGCATCAGTGTGTCAACATTTTCATATTTACGCATACATTTAGGAAGTTTCTTCAAATCAAAAAATATAGTGGCTTTTGCTAGCACTTTGAGTTTCAGCCAGTACCCATTGTTAATGCTGTATAGACATGGAAAAAGAAAAAAAAATCCTGACATTATATAAGACACTGAACTAGATCCGTTCAGAAGATTTTTTGGAACTGTCCAGGTTTTGAGTTCCAGGCTCAGCTGGAAATAAACATTAATCTTGCCATTGCCTCCCCAGAACTTGACAAACGGGGAGTGAAGTCAACGTCTGCAAGCTGATACTAATGGTCTGATGACAGCTAGTGGTCTGTGCACTTGCCTGCAAAGACATCACACCACCATTCATGAGGGGGAAAGAACACTGAAGTGTAAAGAAATCCTGGATATTATTATGGCAGGCTATTTTAATCCAGGTGATTTTTCTTAAAGAGAGTATTTAATCTAATATACAAACTCCAATTATTTGCTTGCAAATGAACTGAGCTCTTGAATCAAGGCTATTAGAAGTTCTCAGTTCAGTTTTGATGCCTTTGCCTTTATTGTATTATTTTCTAGTTAAACATGGAGAAAACTTGTCCTTAGAAACAGAGTCAGTGCTTGGTATGAAGCAGTGCTTAAACATCAAAAAGCTACTCACATCTCCAAGTCCTCACTTTTTGCTTTAAAATTACATGGAGCCAACATGAAAACCGAAGCTGCTTTTTGATAGAGCTCAGTCTCACAAATTGTTTTAGCAAGGGCCTGGAGGATGCTGACATGGACATTAGCTTAGACTGAGAGCACGCATCACCTGCTAGGACTGAGCCCTTCAATCCTGTCCAGCTTACTGCTGATTTGCAATTTAAGGACCAGCTTTTATTGTAAAAGTTTTTATTCTGGGGGAAGAATTGCCAAACAATTGGTTCTTTTTTTGGGAATATGGATGAATGGTTGGCTGACGACTCTTCCCCAGACCACTTTTTAAATAACTTACAGTTACCCTCTGACAACAGTTGCCAGAAGTCTCCCGAGCTGTGCCAGGGATCCTAGAACAAAGCAACAGAAGCTGCTTACTGCAATGCAGCTTCCATCCAGCGAGCATGAAGCCTGGCGGCTGCTTACTCGACTTCTGACATAACATGTATTCAAAATTATCTTCCTGACGTGTTTCTCGGCAGTCAATACTGATTTTTTTGAAGGAAAGGAAAAGGCACTTCTTTTAGTTTTTAAACAAAAAAAAAATTATCCAAAAGTCCACATGGCTACCTGGCAATAATTTCTAACATGCCCTTTAAAATGTATTCCTATTTTAATCACTGACAATAGTTTTTACAGGATCTTCTGTTCTGAACTGAGCTTTTAAGGTACCTCCAAAGAGAGCAAACACTCTCTGAGCTAATATGCAGCAGTTTAACAGACATAGAAGTATGGCTGACAATGTTCTTAAAAATTTACTACAAGAGACTGAAAGAAACGAAAACAGTCAGCGAGACCATGCCAGGGAAGAACAAGCCCAAATATTTCCAGGAAACAGTGAATGTCTCACTCTCTTACCTTGTCACACGCACCCAATCTCTCTTTTTCTAAGAGTTTCTTGGTCTCCCTTTCCCAATAGGCCATCAGTGCTTCTCTGCTGAAAGTCCCTGTCGGTGTTTTCTCTGTCAGGCTCTTCTGCCGTTGTCCCACCGGAAGGTTACGGTCGGGCTCTATGTCCTCCAGCTCCCGCTCCAGCTCCTTCAGCTCCTCTTCAGTGAGAGAAGCTAGGAGCTCATCTTCATCAATGTCTTCATATTTACTGAGCTCTCTTCTGTAGCCAAAGGTAGACATGGTCCCGCTTGGTCAGGCTGGCACAAACCTGAAGTGATTAGGCATTCAAGAAGGCTGAAGCAAGCACGCTGTGTCTCGTTTGGTCAGCAACTGTTTCCCTGCGTAGCAGAGGCACCCTTTTAAGAGTAATCATCAGGGGCTTATGACAATGCACGAAGGGATGAACGCATGCTCCGTTTTAGGCATCAGACGTCAGCTAGACATCTGAACAGCAAGAATGTCCCAACACTAGTGTTTGCAGGTCCCTTAAAGAGGGAGATTATTGACACACTGGCCATGGCCATATTTAGCGCAGGCGGCTGGCGGGAGAATACCAGCCCCACAGAGGGAAGGGGGGGTGGCAGCAAATAAAACCCCGGGCACATTTACACCAACTTCATGTCCAAACTGCAGTAGAGAAAGAACAATGAAAATCCATTTAATCCCGAGCTGCCACAAGGGCTGGAAATAAAACACTCTCGCTGTTGTTCACTGGGCTTCCTCTCGTTTCCACGGTTTTCTAGCAGAACCACACTGTTATCCCACCAAGGTGTTTGCAGGAGGTTGGGATCTGTGGGAAGGCAGCCCGAGGGGAGGCTGGTGTGCCAGCGCCTGTGCGGAGCACCGCTCATAAAACGTCACGCCTCGCCTGTAACAAATCACATAACTGGATTATTTATTAATTCCCCTTTTTCCAAGGATGATCAGAGGGAGAATCAGCTTGACATGTCCATTTGGCACTCCTGTGAGATCTTTTTTTTTTCATGTGGTGGACTGCGCCCTGCTGGACGGGTGAGCATAGTCCCCCAGAGCCTTAGGGGGAACCAGCCCTGGGTGGGCAGCGGGGCTCTGCCTTCATCTCTTCTGACAGCCCCCAGCAAATGAAGGCCTCTAGTGGCTGTTTTAGTAAATGGCTATTGCTTGCTGTAGCTGACTGATGGTGCTGGAGCTGGAGGGTGCCCTTCCTTCAATGCCTAATTTCAAATGTACATATACACTATCATGTCCGCTAATAAATGATATACTCTTCTGATATTATTTTTATAGACTGGTGTCTTCCAATGTAAGAAACCACAGAATGAAAGATTAAACTTCACACTGGCTTTTTTCTTTTCTCCATTAGGAGTGAATGATGGTGAACTAATGATGTTTTCCGAAACGTGCAGGACAGCAATGTCTGCAAAACTGTGTTGTGAGAGAGAGGGAGGGAGAGGAATAGACACAGACAGAGAAAAGGTTGGGTTTGGTACAGGGAAGTAGCAACACATCTATAATGATAAATGTCAACCCTACTAAAAGATAACACATGGTGGTTTTATTTGTAGCTACTAAAGTCAGTATTGAATGGAAATACAAGTGAAAATAATTCGAACTATTGTTCTTGTCCAGTATCGTCTCTTTTTGATTAGTATGGATTGTAAACCTGAACTGATGCATGATCTTTAGCCAAACTGCTCCATGATTTTCATTGACATATTTGGTAAATAAATTACAGTTTTCCTTTGATCATTTTCTATATGAGTTTCACTCATTTAAGCTTGCTCAAGAAGCGGAATGAAAGCTTGCAAGTCCAGGCTTCCCTAACACGCGAAATACATTAATAACTCAGACTGAAGAACATTGTGCATCTGTAAAAAAATAAATAGATATTTACAGGTCATTTAGATTGACTAAACCTTTGCATAAAGTAAAAAAGGAGGAAGATGGAAAACGATTTAGCCTATGGAGCTAAGAGTGTTACCTTCATGGTATAAGATACTGTGATGAATAAAAAGACTTGAGTCACCTGTGTCTCGACAAGACAGTGGACGAGAAGTTCTGTTCACTCTTTCAGCTGCATTTACAGAAATGATGCTTAGGTCAAATTCTGTAAAATATGAACCGGCAGGGGAAAAAAAGAAAAAGTACCTTTTGTCTTTTTACCTTGGCATTATGAACGTTGATGCTGGCACTAATTAAATGTGTATATCAGAACTCCAAGCAATTTTATTTCTTCAGTGTGCCTAAGACAATGGTTCACTTTGTTGTCCTTGGAGTTAGCTGGCAAAGCAGTACAATAAAATTACCTTTCTTGAGCGCATTTTTGCAGACAATACTTTCTTGCAAACATTTTTGGATGGAGTTGGTTAGAAAATTTGTACTGGGCATATTTTCTGTTGGAAAATGTTGATCAAAGAAATGACTTCAGAAATGTGCTATATTTTATTAGTATAATGTTGACATGTACAGCATTGATGTATACAATGTCAATGTATATTGTATGCTGATAAAAATGAAATCTATTCAAGTATAAAGTTTCCCAGACAATTCTGAGCTGTCTGCTTTTCCTTTTTTCCTCGAATACAACAAAATTCTTAAGTCTCTCTGTTTTCCTAGGTTGAGAGTCCATAATAAAAGGTACAAGCAAACAGCTACCTGACTTGTCTATTTACTGTTTTCTATGTATAATTCTATTTTTCCAAACTCAAAGGAACTTCAAAAAGCAACATGCACTACTCACTTTTTAAAAATAATATTCCAAAGGAAGATGTATTCCCGTCCTTGGCAGCAACATGAATATTACCTTCAAGTTACTCCTTGCTGAGGCATGGTACAACACCAGGCCAGGGATGATGTTTTTCTATACGTAAAATGTCAGTGATGTCCATTCTAGCCATGAGATAAGAGAATTTGAAGATATTACTAAAGATGGACAAGGTATTTTATTGCAAATGTCTCCCCTGAAGCAGGGGGGAGATTGGAACTGTTAGTTAAGGTTAGGAGAGGTTTGGGTCCTTTCGTAGTCCTGTACTTGTCACTCATGGTAATTTAGGATCTATTCTATATAGGGAGAAGGCCAAGGGCAAAGACCCATGAACACTCTCTAGAACAATTTTAATAAAGGTAATAAGGCTGTAGCACATGGCAAATTACACACACAAAAAGGATGCTAAAACTGTAAAGCCAAGCATTTGCAGGTCAGAAAATGTGGGATAGCACTTGTCCTTGCCTGCTGATGAGCACTGAAACACAGTCCTTAATTCCATAATTCTGTAATCATATACTTTCATCCTGGACCTCTGAGTCCCCAGGACCCTTACTCTTGTTCAGTGTACAGGAGAGAGCAGACACATTTAATAAACAGCCTTTCAGCATTTTATTTTGTCCCTGTTCTTCAGCATATCCAGATTGCCAATGGCTTTATTTGTCCAGCAGCCCTTTGAGGAGATGTGAAGGTGTTACTGCTGTTGTAGGGAGGAAGAATAGAGGTACAGTGACATTAAGATTGAAAGTACCCACTAATTAGGAGTTTAAGATTCAGTTTTTGGGAGTATTTGGCATTACGTAGCACTTCAGCTGGTCAGGGCTCAGCTCCAGTGGGCACCAGCCACTGCTGAAGCTGCCCACCACTTTGACAGTTCAGGTTATCACTCCAATGATTTAATTACCAAATTAAATTGTCTTGTCTACCTTTGCAGAGGACTCTGCTGTATTTTCCTGTTATTAGTATTCCTGTGTGAAACCTTTTGTTCTCATCACACAGTCCTATTTCTCAGGCATTATACATGTTTGGATTTCTGAAAAAAAGAACACAAAAAAAATAGCAGTCTGAGCATCCTGATATACATCCCAGGCTACGTGCTTGGTCACACACCTGTGGCACAGTTTAGGAAGAGACCTTGGGCAAGTGAGGTGGCACAGTGAACTTCCATCACAGAAGGCACGAGAGCAGAGAGTGAGTTGGATGTAGCACGTGAGGGCAGGTTTATATTGGCTTTGTTGACCACTATTCAGGATGAGTCCTCCAAAGTGCTTCAGCACCTCCTAACAGAAAACTCAAACTCACCTCCCCAATGCCCTGCTGCAATCCCAAATGCAGGAAACAAACCATTTCATGCATAGGCCATGAAAAACTCATCACTGAATCGACAAAATTATTAAACAGTTTGTTCCCTTCAGGACTTGGGCTAGGATGAGAGAAAATGAGAACTGGGAGCGCCCATTTTACAAGAGCAAGATTCACTCTGCCCTTGCAGACAGTCGGCACCCGGGTTCCAGCTGTGGGTGGGACGGAGCCCGCTCAGTGGCAGCCACACTGCAGACAAGACTTCCAATCTTTTCCAGCCTGGGTGATCTGTTTTCTCAGTTTTAAAAGAGGAAACAATTTTCAGTGTTTTTTTCCTTTCCAAGCAATTAAATATTTCAAGCAGCAGCTTTTCACTTCTCACACATTCCCGTACTTTGGGCACACGGCTCCCGCGGACAGCCTGCCAGGCAGACGCGCCAGCTCGTACCGAGCCGCAGACCCGTGCTGCAGGAACTGGTCCGATTGCTGTAGAGCGCGTTAAAAACAATGCTCTGCAGCACGTCTGGGCTTTACCTGCCTCTCCCGCTGCCCTTTGTCCTGGGGTGCTCGCTCCCGCCTACCCCCATCGCTTTTGCACCCCTCCTTCCTCAGCCGGCTCCTTCCCTCCCACCGTCCCCTCCTGCAGACCCCTGCGCACCAGCCCTTGGGCTCTCCCACCTTCTCCTTTCCTGCCTCTATGCTGCTGTGCTGCCTTCTCCATCCCTGGTCCTGCGGGCCCCCCTCACCCGCCCCCCCGCCCCCCTCCCCCGCCTCCACAGCTCATTCCCTGACCTCTCCTTCCGTCCCCTCCTCGAACGTCCCCTGTCCTGCCCCGGTGCTCCTTGCTGCCTGCCTTCCCCCCCTGCCTGCACTAATTGATATATCTATATATATATGTATATATATATGTATGTATGTGTGTGTCTCAATGTCTGTACGCTGTTTGCGCAGGCGAGTCCCATCAGCCCTGGAGAGACACCGGGCCAGCAGCCGGCATGCGAAGCGGACCGCGGGGCAGACGGATGGCACAAGCTGTAGCTCTTTCTCCCAGGGGACCAGCACGACTGGTGAAAATTGCATGCACCATACTGTTCCTGAAAAGGATGTGTCATCACCTACATTTAACAGTGGTATCAGCAGAGCGAAGGGGATAAAGCATGCACTGAGGGCATTTGAAGGAACAATTTTTCAGCTGCTTTTCTCTATGCCAGATGATTCTGTTGTCCAGTCCATCTCTCCTGGT